ATACTAGATATTGTCTGAATTTTATTATAAAGTATAACTATACCTCCCATTGTTGTCCTTTATAAATATGAGGTGAAAGTCAGAATGTTTCAGGTTAACTGATCATTGCTTTTTCTTATTAATAAAAGATGTTGTAGAGCAGAAGCTGATAAAATTGGAATTTTGTTTTCAGTCACTTTGAGCATGTATATATTTAGATGAGTATGACACTGGAAACATGCATGTTAGATCAGAAATGATAGGTTTGTGATATGATAATGTTTACCTAAGGGCAACTCTCAGATTACTTAAGGTCATAGTTGGAGATGGGGGGTTTCAGATGAATGCCACCTATATATTCCCCATTGATTTTTGGGAAAAGAAATGATTAACAGAATGATTATGCAAGGCTTCTAATCACGGTAACAAATTGCCATGCATTCAGTTGAAGAGAAAAAAAATTAAATTTTTAAAAGATGACTTTTCTCTTCTGGTGTTTTGAAAAAAAAAATGTGCATCACATAACAATCTTTTACAGCTTTTTTTTTAGCCTGGGAAGTTTAGTAATCAGATCTGTTTTGTCTGTGTCAGTGTGAAACCAGTGGATCCTATAACCTCATCCTGCATGCTGTACTACTCTGGCTCTGATTGAATTAACCTATTGATTTTGCCTGGAGAGGAGATCTGCTCTGCGTGGAGCTTGTTTCACATGGGCGGCAGCTCTGGCAGGATGATCGAGATGAAAATGATGATGTCGATATTTTACTGTCTGTTGTAACACAATTTAAGGTGAATGCTGTGAAGATATGAGGACAAATTGAAGGGTAAGGTGCACTAGAGACTGGCTTGTGGACCAGTGTGGAGATACAGGGTCAAATTGTATGAAAAAAGTGGAAATTAGATTGGGCTTTGTGTAACATATGTTATTGTCCAAGGCTGAGAAACAGTTTTACACCTTGGTAAATAAGGATAACATTGATGTGTTTGTTTGTTTGTTTGTTTGTTTACCTAGTGTTTATGATGTTTACNGGGGGGGTTGGTGGAGGTGCTCCAAATGGTTGTCAAAAGAACTGTTTTTTGTAGTGTGGAAAACGTCTATTCTGAATCAAAATTTTATGTAGGTTTTTCATAATGGGTCAACCAAGAAGGAATTAATTAAGGTTCACTTTTTCAGAAAAAGAACCCCACTTTTCAAATTGTTAGCTGCAGGCCTAGGCTGTTTATGATGTTTTTCTAGCTTTCATTTATCATTTTGAATGTGTGGGAAGGAAGGCTAATGTAAACTGTATACTAGTACTAGTCTAGCTTGGCTGATGTTGGGATAGTCGGTTTTAGCCAGATGCTACATAAGCATATTCTATATGCATATGGCTATAGGAAATAGAGAATATATCACTATTTGCAAAAATTGTCATCAATATGGTTAAAATTTCTGATTTGTCAAAAATCATTCTGCTAAAGGGAAATTTTTCCTCAGCATGAGCCTTACTGGTGTACACTGATTTATAATAGATTTTACAGACAAAAGAAACAAGAACATTGAATCTATGTAATTAGATGAATGTGATCTCACAATTTTAGTTGTGGCATCACTGCGAGATTATCATTTTTTCCAACAAAAAGGGACAAATAAAAGGTTAAAACATTTTGAGAAAAAAAAATGCATTTCCTATTGACGGAAAAATATCTGTTCATTTCTGCTGGCCCTCTCAAGGGAGAGTTATCATATCAAGTGTTGTGTCTGTCTGCCTCACATGTTATGCTATTAAGAGCCTGGGAGATAATGGCCTCATTGCATACTTATTTTCAACCTCCATTTGTGGATTCTTTGGCAGCTATAATGTGTTTCCCTTGACTCGGGCTACTTTGAATCTGACTTAAGCTTTTAATTAAAACTTTTAAAAACTTAAAAGTGCTAAAAGTTGTTAGTTAGGTACAAAGAAAACTGGGGTAAATATGTTGATTTTTTTCTGTAGATTGAGTGGATCCAAATTAAGCAGTTCTGATGGAAAAATTGGCCCAAGTTGAGAATGATACCAGTTTTTTAGAAAATAAACCAGGCACAAATAGGGTCTCTTGAAGTTGGTCAGTAGTAAAAAATTGATTTGTAATGATGCCAAGCACTGAAACAGAAACATTAAAAAGTTGTGATAATTACAACTGTGGCATTCTTGGTTGTGCGTGCCCTTGCTGGACTTAGAAATATTACAATTTGAACTGGATATGTGGTAAAAAAAGGTTAAGAATTTTTTTCTTCAACCAAATAAACATCAGTTAAGCATTTGATTAGAATTCTTCCTACAAGAAAGAGCCCATCACTGTTGCTGTGTCTTTGTTGGGTGTGGACAATTAGGATGTACTGGATTTAGGTATCAGGATTATTGCACTTAAAGAGAATATGGCATGCACATATAAATTATTTTTAATGCAATATGGAAGCCTGAATGTTACATGTTTGATTGATCTCTGTTAATGCCTGCTTCTATTTAAGTGAGTGTATACAGCTATGGTGAATTTTACTGGCAGTGAAGGAGACATGTTTATGTATTCTCAACTAAATGACAATGAATTTCTGATGCCACAGACAGGCTTAGGACTCGCTAAGAATTTGATTTACTATAGCCAAATATCAGGATCCTGAATGACTTTAGTCAAATCAATTATTGTACTAAACCAGTGACAAGTGTGGAGTAATAAATTAGTACAATATTTTACATTTTCTTTTCATTGATGGTTATTACTGAAATTATTTTGAATAAATAAATTAGCAGCCAATACTCTGACTACTGGTTTGATTATTTTACATCTGTTCTGAGTAGTTCAGTTGTGATGAGGTAGTGCCTAAAGAGCAACAGATTGAAGAACAACCTAATTCAGAAGTATTGACATCCTTGCAACAAGTGCAAAAGACTATTGATGCTTCAGGTTATTTTTGGGAAGTTTGTTATCACTTGGAAGTTGGTATGCCAGTAGAGAATCCATTCCTTTGGATATTTTGGAGAAATCCATTTCAATCTCTCATTTCCATTGATAAAGAATTTCCATCTTACTAATCTGACCCCCATAGATTGCTCCTGTCAATTTTGTTATTGCCAACTGTTATTGGAGATTGGGAATTCATTTCATTGCCATCCCCAGAGCAATCAGCAGTCACCCTGTGTTTAAGAAATAATTGGGAACCTTTCTCCTTCACTACCAGTATGCCTCTGCTATTGGGAGCAATTCCAGAGATATAAAATTCTGACAGTTTTCCAGAAGACCCAGAAAATGGCCTCCATCTGCCCCTGGCTATGGCCAGTAACTGGATACTGGGAATGTCGAAGGTGGCTTATCATGGTAGTGAGTCTCCAGTGACCTCTGATTCTCAGGGTATAACTGGAAATGTCAGAGGCATGCTGAGTGTGGAGGCAACTTTAGAGTGACCTCTGATTCTCAGGGTGTCGACAGAGAAAGTCCATTGCATTGATAAAGATTTCAGGAGAAAATGCATACCTGGCAGACAGCAAGCTAGCTCTGCTTGGTCAAACATTCCCCAGGTGTGTATGAAAATAACTGGCAGGTAGATAGGGAATTGTTTATATTTGATGTAATTATTATGATTGGGTTGCTATAGCCAGACCCTGTGAAAGGCTAATTAGAAAGTAATGTTGTGACTTAACCATGCAATTAGCTCAGCATTTTTTTTTTTTTTTTGGAAAAAATATTTTACCAACATGTTGACAGTGCCATTAGGTGGTCTTCCTGTTCCTTAACTTCCAGTGATATGCGTTGATCATCAGTGTTGTATTTTGGGTCTAATTCATGTGAATTAAGTTTTCATACTCCTATTCTTATGTTGAATCAGGAAAAAAATGGTTATAATGTTCAAAAGTGAACTTCCGACAAAAGTTTGTAAAAATCTCTCTCTCTCTCTGTCTCTCTCTCTCTCTCTCTCTCTCAATGACGATTCATTTAACAGAGATTTTTTGTTCTTACTCAGATTTCCAGTAATTAAATTTATTGGTCATGTATTTATTAAGTTCTGCATAAGTTCAGAAGTTGTGTGTATTTCATAATCAAAATAGGATTTTTTTTTTCTTAATTTAATGTTATAGTTTTTATCCTACTTTGTTAATCAAGTTTCCAATTTTGATTACATATAGTATACAGAATGTTTAGCTTCATAAAACAGATAGAAGACAGCGGCCTGTGTCTGGCAGCCTGTCTGGTCTACAGTCCAGAAGACTTCAAACCTCATAAACCTCTGAACCATATTGACTTGGACAGATCTCACAGCAGTCTAATGTTCTGAACTTATATCTTGATCATCAGAACAACTAAGAGTACATGTAGCAGACAGCAGGGGCAGTCCTGTTTTAGTGGCCACTGTGTGATAGACCACTGAGAAAGGATGGCCAGTTGTAAACTTGGGAAATTTGATATGATAAACTGTGGACTGTCAGCTTACTCACCAGAGTTGAACAGTGTGCTACTAGTACTAGTAACTAGTTTTTGGTCTTGAGTGTGAGTTTGTATGATATAGACATTTGGCTATCTATAGATCCTGTACTGTACGTTTGAAGGCTTTTAGGTGTGCAGGTATATATATGTTTGTACACTAAAGCTGTCCACTCACACATGAGAATTTTAGCCACTATATAGATTAGACCCTGTGTTGTAATGTCATTGAGAATCATGTTATTACAAATATTAGATGAATTTGAAATCTGCCACACTGTGGAACCTCCTTGTAATGCTACTGCACTTTGCCACATAGATTTTTGATCTAAAATACTGTGTCTGACCACGACTTAGTAAGACACACTGTCCCCACCAACTTACTGTTACCTGTTGGACATCCTCCTTGACCAGTCATGCAATATCTTATGTGTTATCTCTCATTTCAGACCACATTGGACACTACCATGCCCGCAGTGAAGAAAAGAAATTTCTGTTGGTGTTTGGGCGGCACCCGTCCCCCAGAGATCACCTTTGACCCCGCTGTCAACGGCACTGCCCTGCAGTCTTTCCACGCTGGCGGCCTCCCCATGCCTGAGGACGAGGAGGAGCTGAACGTAAAATTTGCTGAACTGGTGGTAGGTTGTATGTTGTGGTCGTGATGACAGAATCTTTTACTTTGTCCATGTTGATTTATTCCAGATAATAGTGATACTGGTTGCCTTTTACTAGTTGGTAAAATGTTTGCCAGGTGCTGTCCAGTGTTTTATTTGGCAAAGGAAAATGAAGAATGTTTGTTAAGATATCGTTGATTTTGAAGAAAATTTGACAGAAACACAAAATATGCAAGCTTGAAATGAGGGCTTACAGTGGATTTAACACAACAAGGCATTGTTACGTGCAATGTATGCTTTCTTCCTCCCACACAAGGTCTTTCTCCAAATAACACAAATATCAACACACAGGTAGTACCTAAAAGCTGCACTTTTGAGGAAACTTATCAGGTATCTTAGTCATGCACAAACACGGGACAGGCACGCCTCATGTAAAAGCCCAGGTCGCATTATTAATGGCGAACATTGCTACATTACTTCAACAGTCAAGTAATGCTCAGCCATTGATATTGTTAAAGAAATTTAAGTATGTGATAATTTCAATTTTCTGTAGCCGGTGGATAATTTAAAGATGCTACAGAAATTTAAAGATGCTTGATAAGACCATATTATAGAATGCTAATGTTTATTTGGGGAAGTTGTTAGAAGGTTAGAAAATTTTCAACCAAGTTGATTATGAAAGCAGGAAGGGCCCCAGTGGAAAGTATTTTTTTTATCATTATAGCACCCTTGTACCTATTCTTTTGACATATTTATAACAGTAAAACACGTATGCTAAGGGCACTGAAGAGTGTTTCATACTTTTTATCGTAATATATATATCACGTTAAATTAATTTTGAAGATTTTTTATCTTGGATGTATGAACTGTAGATAATTATTATCTTGTGAAACTTTTTGTTTTTTTTTATTAAAAGATATCAGGTATGAAATAATATTATTGTTTAATATGTTATCTTCGTGTTCCTAAACTGACATACATTTTCTGTGTTGATTATCATGCAGCATTTTGTAATTTAGATGATGTTCTTTCATGTGAGGAATGCACGCGTCAGGTATTATATTACACAACACATGATGGATCACTCCTGACAAGTCATGAAAAAATTTGTCTCTTTTTGAATGTATTGTTGTACTAAAACTGCCTAAGGTAAAAATGCAGTACTGTACTTTGTTGACATATCATGAAGTCACACCCAGAAATATACTGTATGTCCCTTTTGAGAATAAACTGAAAGATGCGAAAATATTTTATTAAAAATTTAAAGTAGGAAAAAAGAGCCTCTAAATTATACCTTTCGTGTAGTAAAGCCTCGTGCTGAAGCACCCCATTATATTTCTGAGAGACGGAAGATGCCTGCACAAATGATGTTGAACAGAATTTTCCCTGTAGTAAACACAGAGAGCACTAAATAGCAGCTGAACCTGATCAGTTATGCCATTTTGCAGGTAGCCAACAGGAAAAATAGCAGAGACCAAAAATTGTCAGTTTACGTGACTGAAGTCAGTAACTAAATTTTGTCGTGTCTCTGTAAGTTTGATTTTAATACAAGTTATTATTGAAGCTGAACTATGTACATCTGCGAAAGAGCATCATTGCATGATCACTGGTATTTATGTGGTGATATTACATGCCATAGGTTGCTAAAGACACAACTTTCAATAGTGGCACTGATCCATGGCTGGTAACACTTGAATGATGAATGTTTAACCTGCTGACATATACCTGTATGTAATTAGATAACAGTAAAGGTGGAATGCCATTCCTGTAGATTGCATCTTCTGCTACACATGAAAATTAATAATGATGTTCATTCTTGCAACTAATAGTTAGAGTGCACGTTCACGAAGAGGGTGTACAAGTAGCAATAACACATGAAATTGTCCACTAAAAATGTCAAAAGAAAAATTCATTGATCAAGTTATTAAATCCACTAATTTCTTTAAAATAGTTCAGGGCAACTTAGTTTAAATGCATTAAAATTATTGGAGTTCTTGTGAGATTAAAGTTTTTTTCAGATCTAGCAGTTCTGAATTTTGGAACATAAAACTACTAAGTGTGTTGGAATGTTCATTCACTTTTGGCAAGAAAGGGTTCAGGTTATGTTCGAGGTTAAGCCAGGATATTGAAAGAGACCAACCAAAATTACCTCAATTATTGTATGAGCAAAGTGGGGGAGGTTTTATAAGTGTGTATTCATGTTACATTTGCGTATGCATAGGTAGAAAGCCCCATCACCAAATTATTATTATTATAATCATTATTATTAAACATGGCCTCTCGAATTTGTTTACTGATAATCACGCAGTAGTCCCGAGATAACTTCAAATATGGCAGCTTGCTGTTCTTATAATATCACAGGTGTATAATTAATGCCAGTTAGTCAAGTCAGTAAAGTGACAGTGTCATTTTGACAGTTGTCTGTTAAAGGTCATAGTGGAAGCCGGTCAAGGAGTGCATTTAAAAAGAGATGGAGAGGCTTGATTTGAAGACTTTTTTTTACTTTTATTCAGTATCTTCCTGCGTATAAAAGATATTTGATACATTTTATTGTCAACTGTGAAATTGATTGCTGTTGTATCTTTCATCTTACATACATTTAGTGACATTAGTAAAGTTTATTATCAGCAAACTAGTTCAACATACATTTAACAATAAAGAGTATGGCTTTTTTTCCTTAAAGCCATTCACACACTGATATTTAAACAAAATTATCTACTTTTTGAAAAAAATCATTGAGCTATGTTTTTCTTATGAGTCTGGCCAAATGCCAAAATAAAGTGACAACGTTTACTGATATAACCATTTATCTGATTTAATGTGGCTAGGAATTATTTCTTCAGATAACTGAGCGAAAGGTTTCATAATTGTGAAATGTTTAAGTGGTTGATATATATTGCTTGGGTCTTTTTAAAGATTTGATTTTAGACTAAATTTGTCATGTGTTGCTGAAGAATGACACACCATTTACAATGATGTGACAATATCTTGTGGTTCTAGTTTTCAGAGTGGTTGGGGTATTAAAGCCCCTTGCCATGAGGGTAAATCTGTTGATAATAGAAGAGATAAGCTCTAAACTATATCATGGATGGGGAAATGATGGCCATGCAGGCAAAAAAGTTTGTTAGTCACAGAAGTAATCACAGTGAGATATCTCATTTGTAGATATTATCTTTGTCAGGTGTTGCTGTGGTTTCTTTGGTCAGTATCAATCGCCAGGCATGTAGGCTCACTAAACCACAGTTGTTTTATGGCTCTTGCTTACAATAAATAACAATTAAGTATAAGATTTGGTTCCCATGCCTAGATCTATCTATCTGGATCAGTCTATCTCCCTGGGGAGTCTCACTAAATTGCTATCAACTTAACCAACTTGACTATCAACTCTCACTAAATTGCTATCAACTTAGCCAGGCTTAATGTCTGTCATGCCTACCAAATCAGTTAGGGGGTAAAGATGATTACCCCCTAACAGCTTTACTAAGTATGTCAGACATTAAAGCTGGTTAAGTTGATAGCAATTTAGTGAGACTCACCAGGGAAATAAATCGATCCAAATATCTGTAGGAATGGTCCCTAAGGCTGTGTTCACAGAATAGATGTTGTCATACTAACAGAATCGATCTATCTCTGTGGGGATTCTTGCTAAGGTGCAGTTAATGTAATCGGCTTAATTGTCTGGCACACCCCCTAGGTACTTACAGTACTTGGATAAATTTGGAAATTTATACATTGTGGTCTGTGATGTTGTTCATGTTGCTTTGCAAGGGGGCATGCCAGACAAATAAGCTGATTACATTTACTGCGCCTTAACCAAAATCCCTGCTGAAATAGATTGCTCTTGCTAGCATGACTTTTATTCTGAACACAGCCTAAGTCACTGCTGCTGTATGTTAATCTGTGAAAGTATAATTGATTGACACTTTGATAGAATTTTGATGGAAATGCATGAACTAGTATCTTCATTTTAATATGAATGCAGTATAATGAGACAATATTATACATAATATTAAGAACATGTATTTCATAATTTGATACAATTAAGTGAGCTTTATTTTAATTTAGAAGCATGCACAATAAATGAGCATAAGTTCTTTTACCTCTTAGCCTTACACTACTATTATAGTTTATGGCCATAAAAAGAAAAAAATTAACAAAGGAAAAAAGTTTCCACTCATATGTTCTTGGGAAAATGTTAACACTGAGGCCAGCCACTATTGAACTTTATCTTTTTTTTCCCGCCTTTCAGGACGAGCTGGACCTAGATAAAGCTCACCGCGATGCTATGTTCAGTCTACCACCCGAGAAGAAATGGCAGATCTACTGCAGTAAATCCAGAGTAAGTTATCGTCTAGTAAGAGAACTGAGATAGCCTTTACACTTTCCCTTTTTGTTTGAGTAATTACCTTATACATGTCCTGAATATTAGGCAGTTCTATTAAGGACCTACCTCATTCTTTTAACTGCTAATAAACATTTGCTTTTCAGGCACTTGATTGTCACTTTGATCAGTTAATTAATCAAAAACTTACAAAATGACTGAAGAAAACCACACTAGTCTACTAAAGTGCAAAAAATTAGCATTATATAATAAAAATGCCATGTATATGCTTTAGCAGTATGACAATTAAAGCTTGTGAAAGAGATTTCCAAATACTGCATTAAAGACACTCATAAAATGGAAAAGGCCATCAAATCCCCATATTACCAAATCCATTTTCTTTAAACAGCTCAAGTTACATTGTCCCATTCTTTATTTGTATTGTATATGACACAGATTTCAACATTTGCTCTAGATCTGTGCCCATACTAGCCCCATACATAGAGAATCCCTTCAAAAATGCTTTAATGGTTCAACTTTGATCAGGTGTTATTATTTCTATATGCCACAACTAGCCTTCCCTGTAGGGAGAATGATAATCATACACATGCTTCTATTTTATCATAGTTTTGGAATAATTCTGTATGAATTTTCAACATATCCATGGTACTTGAGTACTGATGAAAAATATTTTTAATAAAAATGTAAATTTAGATATGAGCTGGATGTTCTAGATATTCTTTTGAATGTATTTTTTTCAAATGCATGATTCTCAGGGTGCTGGTGTATAGATTAATCACATAACAGATCCATAGTGAGTAATGACTTAGTTGACTTACAAGACGTACAGTAATGCCCTAGCTAGACAGTATTGATCAGGCTATAGTTGAGTGTAGGTGATTCATGAAGGAAGATTTAGTAACCTTATGGTGTTACTGAGGCCCTTGATTGCCGTCTTATTAACAGGCTGTGGTTCATTTCCTTCATTTAGATACAATATATCATTTTCAGGAAAACAGTTTTGGTCATAAGGATAAACAGATTTTGAATTGTGGAGGACAGAAATCACGTACATGATTTTTTTGTCCCATTTCATACAGTTTGTAAAAATTTCACATTCTTAAAACAGATGGAACACGTAGCTGCACATTTAGCTAACTGGAACCCGTTTTTCTTTCCCCTCTTGTCATGTCATAATTTTTGAGCCAGTTTGTTTAGATCAGCCACCTGAGTATCATGCTCATGTTGAGAATATCTTTTGAAATATTTAGATTTGCACCCTGTGTATCATACCTTTGTTGAGAGTATCTATGGAGATGTTAAGATCCTCTCCCTGAATATCACGCATATAGTGAGAATATCTATAGAAATGCTAAGATCAGCACCCTGTGTATCACACCAATGGTGAAAACACAGACATGACAAACTAAGTAAAATTCACATGAGGATTTTAAATTAATTTTAATGAACATCCTTTATGTCAGACCCTTATTGGTATTGATATACAAACAGGTGTTATTCATAATCACTGCAGTTCATATTGTTACTGGGGAATAGATAACATTTTACTTATTAAAACACTTTATTTTATGCTTTGTTTTATCATTTCCATCTAGAAGTCCAGGCCCGTAGCCAGGGGGGGTTCAGGGGTTTCGAAAGAACCGCCCCTTTTACTGGGAAAAGGTCCACTCTGGGTAAAATTTGATCTTGGTACATGAAGTTTTTATGGGAAAAGGTCCACATTTTCAGAAAAAGAACCCCTTTTTAAAATTGCTGGCTATGGGCCTGAAGAGGGTATATACTGAGTATACACATACACACTGGGATATATTCTCCATTCACCACAGACCTTAACATTCATAAAAAGCACTACTGAATTATTCTCTTGTGGTCAAAAATCACTGAATAGAAAAATTCTTAATTACAAACTGTCAGTCACAGGAAGATTTTCATCATTATGATTTGTAATGGCCTACTGGAACATTATAAACCAATTGGAATAAATGTATATATTAGCTATCAGCCTAGCTGCTGTTGATCAGCTTATTATATCTGTTGTAGATATTAGAAATAAGAATGGTGGGAGATGTCTATGCTTAGGACTTTTTAATTTCCCTTCTTTGTGTAGTATTAAATTTGCAGAATGTTATTGCACTTATTCAAGGATGAGCTGTAATATTATTTACAGAGATCATATAGTTTTTGTTAAAATGGGTTTTGTGGACAGATAGAAAAGTTCAGATAATGATGGATGAAGAAATATAATGGCATATTAACTGAGGCATATCAGACAATAGAGATTAATCATTGCATCATTAAAGAGAATTAATATAATAACTTAGTCTCATCAGTATTGGTTCTCTTCTGTTCATTATTCACTACTAAATTATGAAAATACCATTAAAAGAACATCAAATTGAAATATTATTTGCATCTGTTAATGGAGGCCAATTTTCCTTCCTAAATGTATCTTAGTATAAATTTTAGAAACTGTCAAATGTACTGCAAAATGATGCTGTAAAGAATTCCATCAGGTTTGTTTCATTTCATTGCTCGTTTATTGTATATTTTCTACATAACAGCTACATTTGTAAGACGCAGTAAGCCTCACTCTTTGAATAAGTTGACTTGATAGACACCAAAATATTATAGTGCAAATAACCCTAATCTTAGCTGACAGCCAGTTGTTTTAAAGAAACTGTTATAACCAAAATGCTGCAGGAAATTGATAATGTCCAAATATTGTAAGTGCTCACAAAATGTCAGTTTGACAGCTCCACTTAATGGCTGCCTCACCCCTTGGACCAACAGAAGACTTCGCAAAGGAAGCCAAACCATTTGTCAGGTATTTCCACCCTCCCTTTCAAGAAAATCCTCAGACTGCTTTTACCAATTAAAATACATTGGGTCAGTATGGGGAAAAATGCCTAAGAAAGTGATTCCTGGAATTGCTGCGGATGAAACGCATTGATCAAAAGCATAGTTTAAAATTGATAGCATGTGATTAGAAAGAACCTGCTGTGATTAGAAAGATCCTGCACATGGATGGTTTCAGTAGCACAAACACATGCCGACATCTGTACTCTTACAGTATCTACAGGGTTTGTAGAGATCTACATCAATGATTATACAAAGGTAATATTTGAACAAATATGTGTAGGTGGTAGCACGGCATAAATATTAGAACAGAAGAGATTGGTGAAAATTAAGCATAGTTAAAAGCCAAAATTGAGGCAGGGTTGAAGAAAGAAAGACATTTTGTGTTCCTACCAAGAAGGGAAAGATAATCAATGAGAAAATGCTATAATAGTTTATCAGGAAACAAATAGATAAACATCCATAAATTACAAACACAAGTTTGAATCAGATTTGCCCAACATATTGTCTGGTTCACCGTGTTGATCTCAGAGTGTTTCATCAATAATTCACGTTCTGATCAACTTTGAGTCATATGTGTACTACAGATGCACTGAGTATAGACACAGAGCCAATCTTGCTGCCATATTGATTTGTGAATTAGTCACCAACAAAGAGGGAAAAAAAAAAGAAAATATCAAAGACCTCTCAGAACGTCATACTATTGTTCATTATTGATATTTGGAGTAGTCATTCATGATGTTCTGATTGAAATAGATGGAGATATGGTGGTAAAAATATTACAAGTTGAATAGCAAATACAGGTGATATATTGAGTATGTGGAATTTGGTACATGACATATTGGTGTGCAATTAACTCTTATATTAGCTGGCAGTGTATTGCTTTGAAGAAAATTTCATGAATAAAATTTAAGTTTGCTCATCAAAAAAGCACCCCCCTTTCCTTTCTACACTTCTAACTCTCTAACGAGTACACTGCCCATGTCCCTTCCAGTCCTTCATTTTTTATCAATTTCACAACCAAAGTTGTGCCATGCCATCTTGTTTGCAAAATTAGTTGTGCATATAAATGGTAACTTTCATGTATATAAAGAAAGAAGACTCCTAGTTGAATGTTTTAAAAATGTTTTCAATCCCATTAGAATCATTATTGTACCATGACCCACTATTTTCTTGTAAATGCTTGCAGAGCTGGGCAAATAAAACCAAAGTGAGTTATTATGCCTAATTTGTTCCACTTTCCCCACAATAAACAAGATAATATTAGAATTTCAGCAAGTTGTTACATTTATTAGTACTATCATCAGTGGACATTATTGAGGCTATAGATGACATACCATTTGGTTCATATTTTCAACTCTTACTGTCCTATTTCAAAGTCAGGCAAGCACGAATATTTATTATTATTAAAACAATCAACCCTGCATTTCAAGAAAGAGTATTATATACATAATTTACTTAAAAGAGTGAGACATATCACTGCAGCTTGGTACTAAATTTTCTTCTTATCTATCTGTAGGAGCAAGAAGACCCAAACTCTATCAGCTGGCCAGACTACTACATAGACAGGGTCCAGGCGATGGCCACAGCAACAGTAAGTAGACTCTGAGATAAGGATTTCATTGTTGCTTGTATGATGATGGTAAAAAAGTAAAATTATTTCTAAAAAAATTAAAATATGTAAACTTTCAAAACTCACAGAGGTGAATCAGTCTTGTGATTGAGATTTGATGAAGTGCCATACTGTCATGCCTTGTGGGAAAAAAAAACGACAACCAAGACAATATTTGATTTTCTCCTGATCTTTCTCTAAAAATGCCTTGTTATATTTATATCATTGAATGGCAAGAATGAAGATGACCCATTGGTTTGCTATTCACAGGTGTTCTTTGGTGACAGGACAGAGGAGATGTCACACCGCCTGACAGTTGTGGACAGTTTGAAGACTGCACTGAGAACACAACCAATGAGGTGAGTGAGTATGGCAGGGCTCATTGTGGTAGGTGTGCTGCACTGGTGCAATTTCTAAATTGCGTTGGGATGTGATGCTTCTTGCACACTCATACTTCAGTGTTTTATTTCAGTTTGTTGGTTTTGTTCATGGCCCAATAAGCTGATTCAGTTTTAAGGGTTTCTGATTGTTGGAATGCAGGTTTGCTGTTGTAGGTTTGCAGAGTAATTGTTATACAATGCATGCAGAGGGGTTTCATTACAAAAAAGAAAAAAGGAGTCTGTGAAGTTATGCAAGACACTTTAAGTAACTTTGTTAACATAGATCTTGTCCAGGAAAAAGCATGGTACAAATCCTTGCTCATTTTTTCAAAGGCATTTATTTTAATGCTTAAATATAAAACCGTAAGTAAAGTTATGGAGAGTCAGTATGCCACAGTTAGGGTCTTCCCTCCCTCTACGCTAAGTTGCCATGGCAACCAGCTCTCTCTCCACATGTTCTGACCTTTCTGAGTGACCTACCCAGCATTCCTAGACAAGCCTGCTTAGTATACTGGCTGATTTCTCTGTTCAAACTGTGGGCACTGGATGGCCGTGTCTATGAATGTCTGTATGCCTGTTATGCTGTGAAGAATAGAAATAATGCAGCTAAGGTAATTGATTATTTTGGATTTTGAAAATATTCCAGAATTATGCATCTTAAATTGATTGATACTTTTGCATTTAGGGTATTTTGTTGTTTGATTTATGCTTTGTGTTGATTTTGATGTGTCAGGTTTGAGTGTGATGTTAACTGATGTTTTAATTCATTTGACTTAATTGCTTTACATATATGTTCTATTGCTTAAAGCAGATTTTATGAATCATTGCTTTTTTAAGAAGCAAAATTTGTTCAGAGTGCAGTTTTACTGGAAAAAGTTAGCACAGACCATATGTCACAAAATGGTAATTAATGAGAAGGTACCTTGGCGAGAAAGTTTGATGATCCAGACAGGAAAAATGCCATATTTTGTCAAAAGAATGCACTTAAACATGATCTATTACAGTAAGGACAACCACTTTAAAACAGTAAATTTTACTCAAGTGGCTCTATCAAGGATCACTTAAAATCACCACTTTGGCTATTAAGAATGATCTAATTTATTTTTATGTTATTTAAAAGATACTGAATGATTGGGGATCTTTGAATTTTTTTTTTTAATTTAATTAATGCTATATAATGCAAGAAGAGTAAAAAGCAGAAATATTTTTATTATGAAAGCATTATTTTGATTGAGTATAGCATTTAAAAAAGAACAGAAAGCTGAGACTGAAATAACTGTGGTAATTGTTGATGGGGTGTGTCAGTGAAAAGTAAAAGGTCCAGACAGGAAAAAATGTAATATGTCTTCAGAAGAATGCACTTGACGCGTGATCTATTACAAATTACAAATTGGTCATAGGATGGCCAAACCAGTTGTTGCATTACTGTGCCTAAAAATATTTATTGCACATAAGTTCTTGTTATCAGAGCCCTGTTTTGACCAAACCTCTAAGAACGAAAGCATTGTACCTGAAGCTTCAAGGATGGATTGGTCCTAGTTTGGAGATTTCCATAATATATCTCAACTTTCTTCCATAGTTGTACATATGGTGTGGCATGCAGTTTAATTTTACTCGGTTCAAATGCATGTTACAATGGGGTTACTGTAGGTTTGCATGTAACACTTATTTTACGTAAAAAGTGCTGCTTTTTTGTGTGACTTGAAAGAGAATTTTTCTTCAAATGAATAATTAATTCATATATATATTTAATATTACATAAAATTGATTTTTGTACATCAAAGTATGGATTGCTGTAAACTCATGTCAGCTGTGAGAGGTATGATAATGTAGGGGGGTTTCCAGTAATCTGTTCCATTTGGGATGAGTCCATGGTATAGTAGAGAAAATATAAAGAACCAAGAAAGGAGGAGAGATGAAATCACAGCCAACTAAATTGTTCCAGTGTGACCTTTGCTGAGTGGTTGGAAGTATGATACAAGTGATATGAAGCTATTATGTTATAATATCACTCCTAGTATGGTCACTGAGAGGTTAACACTGGTCTTAACCTGCCCCATGGTCATTACAAGAAACTGATCAGTCATGAAAGGCCAGAGTAGTCAAAACTTCTGGAAGCAGTAAGCCGGTGTTGATTTAGATTTCAGTAAACAATAATTGGAGAGAGTAGTCCAGGCTTTTGACTGTGTTACTGTTTCAGTGTTGAATAAGTTTTAACTGAAATGATTGGAAATACTTCGCAACTGCTAGTATGTACTTCAACCGGGTGCGCTTCGCTATGCCGAAGGTTCGCTATGCCGAGGGTTCGCTATGCCGAAGGTTCGCTGTGCCGAGGGTTCGCTATGCCGAAGGTTCGCTGTGCTGAGGGTTCGCTGAGCCGAAGGTTCGCTATGCCGAGGGTTCGCTATGCCGATTGTTTATATTTTGTGCCGAAAGGTTCGCTGCGTCGACGGCTCGCTATGCCGAAGCCATCGTAGAGTTAGATAGCCCAAAATATCAAAAATACTTTGGTGTATGACTATAGCAAAAATAATGGATCAAATATTAACTATTTTTGGGTGGTTTATTTTGAAAGATCAAAAAGGGATTTATGACAGTTATTACAATATTGAAGGATTTATTTGGAAAGATCGAAAAGATATTTATGACATTTATAAGATGTTTATTTCAAACAGAAAAGAATTCCTTGATAAAGATACACAGTGCTAAAACGTAGTGCTGATAGATTCAAAAAAATATTCTTTGGACAATTTCCTAAAACCCCTAAATACAAAGGTGAAGGATAATTTAGTCCATAAATGTAGGCCCTACAAAATATACAATATGAAAAATAAACTTTGTAAAAACTTTATATTAAAAACTGAAATGGCATAGCAATATGAAAATAAATATGCATCACTTGCCGTCTTAACTAAAGAAAATTTGATTCCAATATATGTTAGCATTCGAACGAATTATCCTTACATTTATAATCAAGGGTTTCCCCTCCCCCCGCTCACAGACATGCATGCAATAAATGATATTTCGTTACGTATTCTGACATTTAAATAAGTATCTTTATCAGTTCTGAGAGGTACATGTGCTAGTTGGCCAACGCAATTAATTATCAAAAGTAACACAGCACACAAATATAAAACTATATGTCATTAAATCAATAATAAATAGTAATTAGATAGATAATAACAAAAATACGAAGCTAAAATAACTGCAAGTGACAATTACGACTACTAAAAGTATAATGATAATAAATAAAAAGATGTTTTCTTTTCAGTAATTTCCTAAAGTGGGTGACGCCCATAGTGCCAAAAATAATTAATAAATTAACTTACAGAACTGATTATTTAAAGCGATTTAAGATGTTTATGTCCATAAGGATAAACTTTCAATGCGCAGTTTTAACAAATTCAAATGGTACGGATGGAAGAAGAGAACTTTTTAAACTCGTTTATTTAAAAAAAGGCCACTGCTCGTCACGTTACATAACAAGCACAATGGGTGATGGGTAGCCGACTTCTTCGGCGCAGCGAACCCTCGGCGCAGCGACCCTTTCGGCACAGCGAACCAGATCCTTTCGGCACAGCGAACCTTCGGCATAGCGAACCTTTGATTTTGGGGCTCCGGAAAAACTTAGCCGATTTTAGACCAATTTTCCAGTTTTGTCGGCACAGCGAACCCTCGGCACAGCGAACCCTCGGCACAGCGCGCTGACCCCCTTCAACCACCTGTTGTTGGAGATTACATATGCTGATTGAGGGTGTAACTAGGAATTACTGTGAACTTGCTTGACTTTATGAGATTATTTTGATTAAAAGATGATACACTAAAAGTGATTATCAGATGGTGGAGTTATTCTTGACTTTCGAGACTGAATAATCAGAGTTGTATAACTTATATTCCTATGAATGTGGCACCTATACTAGGAAAAAAGATGAAATAATAGATCCCAGGAAGTTGAGGACACTGATTTTTGTCAGATTGGTTTGTCCCACAAAGTCATACCAAATAGAAAAAATTCTGACATGAAGACAACTTTCTTTTTAGAGTTTTTTTTTCTTTTGTTATCCATTCATTGCACTTGAATTTGTGAACACATAGAGAATTCCATGCCAGGATGCTTGCTGAAGCGTGAAATAGGCAAATTTTCTTGGGTCTTTTTTTGTGAGTTAATGAAATTTCCCGTCCTGTATTTTTTATTAAGTTGTAATCATTTTGATCGGTAAAAGACTTTATTTATGTTAAACTGTTTGGCTGATTGTAGGCATTTTATTATTTATACATTAAAAGGAAATGCTGTAATTGCCACAATAGCCAAAAATTTTGTAAAATGACCCCAATGTAACAAATTAAGAAGTTAAATTCTACTCTGGTGGTGCCATATGATTAATCAGCTGATAACTTCACAGTGGGACTCTTGTAGTTTGTTTATTCAACCACCTCAATTTTCTTTCTCCAGTCATTCAGTAATTCAAACCCTCATGGGTATTATGGCGTACATGCAGTTCTAGTGTTGAGCAAAACAGAATCAACGAAGAAGCAGCGTATGAGATATTCTTCATTATAGACTTTATTACTAATATATGTACCTGACAAAATTATGTATGTATAAACTGNCTGCTGGACTGATAACTTTTAATCACAACACAGCCCAGGCCCATAGCCAGCAATTTCAAAAGGGGGGTTCTTTCTCTGAAAAAGTGGACCTTTTTTCATAAAAACTTCATGTACATAGATCAAATTTTACCCAGAGTGGACCTTTTTCCAGCAAAAGGGGCGGTTCTTTCTAACCCCCCCGAATCCCCCCTGGCTACGGGCCTGCAGCCTTAAATAAGGATAGAATAGACTTTTTTTTCAATTGAACAAGAGGTAAACGTGTTGATTAACTCTGGTCTCAGGGACCAAAACATGGTGAAAACATGGTGTGATGATTAAGCTCTGGGGATGTAAGTTATATAATTGATACCTCTTGCTGCCTTACATTGCCACTAGTGGCCATTAGTGAACACCAGGGTGATTAACCATAAATGACAAAACTGGAGTGACTTCATTTTCATTGCTTCAAATAACTCAGTTTCGGTTCTTTTTACTGTAAACAGATACCATGGAATGTCCCCTGTGTTGTTTTATTGTTTTGCTAGTCTTGTCTCTCCCTGGTAAAAATCTAATAAGGATAAAACTGTTGTGGTTCCAATGGATGTTTACCAACAATATATGGTGGAAACCAAGAGAATGGTATTCCATTAGTGATGATGTTTTCTCTTTTAAATTTACATCAGATATGTTGTTTCATGGAGGTCTGTAATATGTTAAAAGATGTAAAGATAGAAATAACAGTCTTTAAAAAATCAATAAGTTTCTTAGTTACGTTGTTTAGAATTGCAAATGTTTGATGAAAAACTGAAAACAAAACAGATGTCAAATAGTTCAGTTGTCCAGGTTTACCTAGTACAAGTTGACAAGCATTTTCCAGCTCATTTCTTGGACGTGACATGTTCTATTTCACTGTTGGGTGCATCTCGTCTAGAATGTCACTCAAAATAGAAACCATTACATAACAAAAATGCTTAGGGTGTATATGTTTTCTCTTGAGACAGCAGTGTTTGGTTTTGTTTTAGAGAACTTAGCATGTTTTTCTTTCATTACAGTTGGAGAGCACATTTTTCTTCCAGTGTTGCAGGAAAGGAAGGACTTGTTCAACAGTGTTATCCTATGTGTAATATACTCAGCTGTGGATATACTTCAGAAATATTACTATATGTCAAAAAATTAAATGGAAAAGAAGGGAATGAACTACCAATGTTTTTCACTTGGTTTTTTTCTTGATATTAATTTTATCCTTTAGGATAAGGTTGGCAGAAAACAGTGCAGGTAGATGGTTACACTTCATATAATACTGTAATTCATTCTTTGTCTTTCTTTCAGGACCATCTTGAATTCCGCATCCACTTACGCTATGAGTTCTTGATGCTAGGGCTCCAGCCTGTTCTAGAAAAATTGCGCTCTCATGAAAATGTCACACTTGACAGGTAAAATGTGTTAATTCACACAGTTAGGATGAATGTTTTTGTGGTAGCTCTGACTATTTTTTCTGTAAGAACCGATTGCAGGCATCAGTTGCCTTGCAAACGCACATAAAAGGGAAATCTATATTGAAACTGATGTCTTATTTCTTGTGTGAAATGGTCACAGTTTGTAGTTTGCCATTTTGCTATTCAGAAACTAGATATCTTTTTTTTTCTTAAAGTTATTTCAAAGTGTTTAAAGGTAGAATATCTGTATTTCCAGACATATTGATTTCTTTGAAATGGTTAGAAATGAAGATGAAAAAGAGCTGGCCAAGAGATTTGACCAGGTAGGTAGTTTGATAAGAGAAGAATTTGTCACCATGGCAGTATGCCATGCTGTGCTTGTCCATTCAACTGGTCATTTAATAAGTTTTGCTATAGATTATTACAGATAAGAAAAAAGAAAGATACATATGTTTACTGGCTCACACTTGTTATTTTTTAAGTAGTTAAAAAAAGAATCAACATAAGTATGACTTAATCCTTTGTAAATGTTCTACATAATGCACAGTTAATTAAGATACATTTACTAATTGAAAATATGTTTTCCATTGATATTGTACTGAAAAAACTCAAAAGTAACTTAAAAGATTTTACTGTTGCATTTACTTCATCAGTTGAATTCTTGTTTTTTTTCCTCTCTTCCACCACTGTTTTTCATACCAAAATAACATCTAAAAATTGTCTCCCTGTTACCTTTGTAATTGTTTGTTAAGCTGCAGGACCCATGGTCTTATTTTTATTAAATCAACAGTAATGATAAAATAATGATAATAATTTATATCTTAAAAATGTACGTGCCTCAACAGTGTTTATGTATAGTGTTACCTTCCATTATTGCACTTAAAAAGAGTGCACCATTAACCGCCAGTTTCCATTTATATATCTTTATATTTTTTTTCTTACAAAGTATTGTTTCCCATTGCAGGATCACATTGACACCCGTAGTGCAACTGCCATGTTTGACATTTTGAAGAAGAAGTTGGGCTTCACCCTGGCCTACCCCCACTTCCTGTCCATCCTCCATCATCTGCTCATGTTACCTTGTAAGTGAGGTTTCTTGATTGTACTCCGCACACTTTTACATTTCCTGGTTGTCTTAAACAGTACTGCTGTAGCCTATGCAGGTGTTATTTCGTATGAATAAAAAAGAGAAAAAGGAGTAGGTCCATAGCCAGTTATTTTAAAAGCGAAGTTCTTTTTTTTCTGAAAAAGTGGATATTTTACCATGAAACCTTCATGTACTTACTAGTATATAGAATTTTGCCAGAAGTGGACCTGCTTTCTTTTCATTTTTCCTTGAAAATTAATTTCATATTATGTTGTGCAAAACTTGCTTCATGTTTGTCTTATTCTTTTCTTTGCTGTAGTTTCAACTAATAACACCTCTAAATCTATTATTTCTTAAAAAGAAAAAAATATTTTTGTATCTGTACCTATAAAGTATGTGACAATTTAAGACCAAAAAAAGGTGTCTTCTTTTCTTCATTCAGTTGCATTGAAACTGTTTCAGTCAGCAGTACACATGTATCGCTTCAGTGAGATATTTATAGAAACACAGCACAATAACAGTCTTGAGAATACTGCTCAGAGATATTTCATTCACAAGAAGAATTATTTCAGTTTACACATGCTATAAGTCTTCACATGTGTCAACAGCATATGTTTGGGTTTGTTGTTGCTATAATTATAGTGATGTTGCAGGGTAAACATTTCGCAGAACTGTGCCTTGTTTGGTATCACTTTTCTGAGGTTTGCAAAACAATGTGTTTACCAAATGCATTGTTTTATTATATTAATTCAATACCTGAATCTTTATGTCCTCCAAGAAAACATCAAAAGTTGCGACATCACTGTCATCTGAAATTGTTGTTGTCTGATTGATGATATGTTTCCTCTACCCTAAAAAAATTGTAATGGCATCATCAGTCAGTCTTTTGTTTGATTGTGGTGCCATTGGTCAGTTTTACGTTTTAGACTTCAAATTCATGGATAATAATTTGTATATTTATTTATATGTTTATAAAATTATATATTAATGGAAAACAGAAACTTTGCATGGTCCATGCTCCTAACATCTTATACATACTGTACGTCAGTGCATGCCACAACTCGTGTTAAATGAAAAATATACAAAATAAAAGAATAATGATCATTTTCATTCTAGTGTCGAAGAACAGTGCATTCCACCATTGGCAGTTAATAGACAGGATAGTGCAGCAGATTGCACTACAGCAGAAGAATGCCATCAACCCAGATGTGGCACCACTTGACATTGATGTCAATCAAATTATCAAACAGTAAGAAATAGTGTTTAATTCATTGTAATGTATGATGCCAATGCTTCACATTCACATATATTTTGTATTCATGGTATTTGTAATTGATTCCCAAGTGTTATGCACTAGTTTTAACTATAGGGAGCATAATTATCTAAAATTCACCCAAACAATTGGAGATGGTAATATTGGCTACCTTTTATTTGACCCCCTAAAAAAGTAAATGAAAAAATGAGTCATGAGTCTGAGTGATACTGCTCAAGGCATGCAGCAAGGGTAAATGGTTTGTCTTCAGAAAACAGTTTGGAATAAAGACCGACTTAAAGTATAATGAAATACCTTAAAATGTGTTTTTAAAAAAATTAAAGTCATACAATGCATTTTAGACCTTCATATAGCAAAAAAAGTAATTTTCCTTTAAACTTATACCGTTTCCTATTTATCAGAAAGGTGCACCATATCTAAAACTGTTCACAGAATTAGGATCCATTAATAAGGAACTAGATTTAGTAGTTTGACATATTCCCCTTAGGAAAAAACTGCTAAGTGATACTGCAAGCTTTCAGCAAGTCAAATGTTGTACTGGTAACATTTCCTTCACCGATGAAACACAATATCCAAATTATAAAAATCAGCATGTGTCTTTTCCTGGAGTTTCTAAGTGCAAGGTGTTAAAGCATTTGCTTCCTTGCATTTCTTGTTGAACAAAAATGTTGGAAATGTCCTAAATTTTCATAGTGTTACTACATTAGTGCTGTCATAATATTTCAGTTACAAGAGGTATGCAGACATTTTTAAAGCAAAATTTTCCAAACTTTTGACAAAGTTAAAAATGCAGTCTCATACTACAGCTGTGTTCTTCTCTTCACCAAAAAAATTGTGATTTTTTTTTCTTTTAGTGAAATGAAGTGAACTTTTTCTTTTGTTTGTCATCTTTTCTGGTTTCCATGCATGAAGAATGAACTGTTGAATGTATTTTTTTAATTGAAAAAATTGTCAAGACGAAATGTGTGCCTTGAAAAATCAGACAAAAGATGTTAAGTGAAAGTAGAGGGGCAGGCATAAATAGGAAATTATGGAATAAACAAATGTATAATACTTTTTTAAATCAGAATTTTGTTCTTGTAGACTGGCACAGGAGAATGAGATCAAGGCAATTCAGCAGAAGATGAGGGATGTGCAGAGAGAAAATGATGAACTGGCCTCCAAACTTCAGAAAAAAGAGAGAGAGTGTGACATCAAGACACAGGAGAAGGTGAGTCCATTTCAGAGTGACACAGGGGAAACGTCTGCCCATTCCTATACTGAAAAAATGTGAGTTCTTCCCAGAAAAAAGTAGGTCCCAGTCTTATAGGATGCATCAAGACTGTGATTAATTAAAATCTTCAAACGGTTTGGTTTTTCTAATAGTTTTTTTTTCAAGATTTATCATTTTTATTAAAAGTAAGGGAGAAAGAGCTCCTTTTGGTTAAAGAAAAAAGCATTAAATAAAGTTCAACAGAAACAGAGAAATGGATTGATTCTATCATAATACAGTATTGATATACATATATTAAATAACTGATCTATTACTTCAATCAGCTGTAGTGATCTCATCTCTTCACTAAAGTTAGAAAAATCTGATGATGGTTTGTGTACAAAATGATTAGATCACTTGATCACAAATTTATTTCAAAAATTTTTGATTAGGTATCATGTCAAGAAGAGATAGTTTAAAAATGAGGCATTGATAGTGTTTTTTGACTGGAATGCATATTCTGTTTTACAGGAAGATGTGATAACAACACTGAACAAAATGAAGAACAGGTTGGAGAGGGAGGCCTCAGCTCATGGAGACGCCAAACAACAGATTGCAGAACTTACAAGTACATATGAAGAACTCAAGGGACTGGTGAGACCTTTTAAATATATGTTTTCTTTTTTGATAATAATAATGATGATAATATTGATAATGATAATAATAATTTTTATTTTTGAATAAAAATTAAATGTTACAATTACAAAACCAAAGTTTGCTTTAATTAAAAAATTTAAACACAATAAAGATGATAATAGTAATTGATAATTGCAAAGTTGGAGAATGTTTTTATATGTTTACTGGAATTTGCCTGTTCAAGTTTAAGTAGTGCAATGGAAATGACTTTGGTTTCTGCTAAATGTCTGTACATTTGTCAGTTGAACTGCCTACTTAGAAATCATGACTTATTATACTTCCTTTGTTCAGAGTTTTCCATTTTCAGAAATAATGCTTGCATACAGTAATAAGTCTGATAAGCATTATGGAAAAATAAATCTCGTTTCACCCTTGCTTCTTTGACAGCTCGAACAAGAACGGCAAGAGAGAGAAAAACTTCAGCAATATATGAAAAGTGGCAGTCTGCCAGATGATGCTAAGATGGGGTTCAACACAGCAGCATCTGCCCTGGCCACAGCTTCCACCACAAAATCTGTGGCCCCTCCTCCTCCCCCACCCCCTCCACCAATGTCAGGGGGACCTGTTCCTCCTCCCCCCCCCCCCCCCCCCCCCCCACCAGGACCAGGAGGCCCCCCGCCTCCACCACCACCTCCAGGTTAGTCAGTGTGTGTGTGTGTGTGCGTGTGCGTGTGCATATGTGCCATATATTTGCCTGCATAAATTTAATATTTGATCTTTTTATTGATTTAAGATGGTTTGTTTCTACTGGAGATGGACTCTCCCTCTCTCTCTCTCTCTCTCTCTCTCTCTCTCTCTCTCTCTCTGCATGTGTTTTAAACCAATATAATGATAAAAATACAAAAATATGCCCAGTATTTATCAAACAGTTAGTCATTATTTCCACTATGGCATGTTCCAGGTGCTCCACCTCTTACTCCAGGGAAGGCAGTCAGGAAGAAAGACATTCCAAAATCATCCAATCCTCTCAAATCTTTTAATTGGTCCAAACTTCCAGAGGTAAGCGTCGATCTTTAAATATTCCATTGTTACTTAATAGAGTGACTGTTGTCAGATAATAAACAACATGGAAAGGTCTTTAAATACTTTATTGGAAAGCATTAAGACAGTTATTTGGTTTTAATTCAGTTTTTATGCTGTGATTTTTTTTTGTCTTCAATAATCATGCTTGTTCCTTGCTTTGATAAAAAAGAGCAGCAGTATTATTATTGTTAGTATTTGTGTTATGTTCAGTAGTAGTACGACAGTTGTACATTGTCTTATAACTTTTTGTAGGTGAAACTTGCTGGTACAGTATGGAATGATATTGATGATACCAAAGTAAGTCATACAATGCATTATTTAAGAAAATAATATATTTATACCTCAAGTATTTTTAATGCACTTCATGTACACTGTAATTCATAAATGGCAATATAATTGTTTTCTTCAAGTAAGACACAAGTTTAAGTACTAAGTTTAATAGAATAAATTGGCTTCACCTGACAAGACTTTCCACACTATCAAACTCCAAGAATTGTTTTTTTCCTAAAACAGAATTTTACATTGTGAAATTAAGAAAAATATGTTGGGGATAAATATGTTCAATGTCATCGGAAATATGCTCTTCCAGTACAGCATTATTAAATTTTTACCCTTCTTTCCTGTAGTTATACAAGATGCTGGACCTGGACGAATTTGACAAGACATTCTCAGCCTACCAGCACCAACAAAATGGAGGTGAGGAGAACGGCGAAATCATGAGCACCATGAACAGACAAAACAAATCCAAAGAATTGTCAGTGATTGATGGCCGCCGTGCGCAGAACTGTACTATTTTGTTGTCCAGGATTAAGATGACCAATAGTGAGGTCCGAGACTGTATCATGAGTATGGACTCTAACGAGGAACTGCCCAAGGACATGTGTGAGCAGGTAAGCAGGTCGAGGAGGTCTTGAAAAATTGGAACTTTTTTTATACCCTTAGCCAATATAATCAATACTGGGCTCACTCAGGGACGAAATTTCTTTTAGTCAAATAGCTGAATGATTTAAGCCAGCTTTGAACCAGAACAATGATAAATTCAGTGAATAACATTTCTGTTGCTTTATCAGCTGCTGAAGTTTTGTCCCACTCCTGAGGAGACGCAGATGTTAGGGGAACATGAGCACCACCTGGAGGAGATGGCAAGAGCTGACAGATTCCTGTATGAAATGAGCAAGTAAGACCCTTTCCTAAAACTAGGAGTGTTTAAAATCCAATATTTCTTTTTCAAGAATATATCATGTGTCTGTGTAAAGAGACACATCTTGTTTTGATGTACAGACATCTAAGGCTATGGACAACATCAGATATGGAATGGGAGTCAAAGCTAGAGCTGAAACTGGAGCAAGAAAATATTGATTTTTAAGTACATCCATTTCCAAACATTTAGCTTTATAGAGTTAATACCTTTGTGCACAATTTAACTTGCATGAACTGTTTTAAGAGCTTNTATACTTATAAAAGTGTTGTGTCATGACAAGTATACTTTTGCGATATTTCAGAATTCCACATTATGAACAAAGGTTAAAAGCATTGCACTATAAAAAGAAGTTTACAGAAAGGATGGTTGATGCTCGGCCAAAAGTGGAAGGTAGTTATATATTTTGTAGTGAAGGATAGATAGAATGTGTGTTAAAGGAGGGGCCAAACTATGGGGATTTCATTTTAATAGTATGATTTATTTTTTCCCTTATGTTTCTTTTATGATAATAGAATACAATATTACTGAGATTTTTTCTTCATTGAATTTTTTCTTCTTTTATTCCAGCTGTTTTACAAGCATCAAAAGAGATGATAAAAAGCCCACGTCTGCGGAAGTTTTTAGAGTTGGTCTTGGCTTATGGCAACTACATGAACCCAGGCCAGCGCGGCAATGCTTACGGCTTTAAACTTTCTAGTCTCAACAAAATCATTGACACAAAGTCCAGTATTAATAGGAATCTTACCCTGTTACACTACCTTTTAGAAGTTATAGAAAAAAGGGTAAGTTTTGAAAAGAGAAATTTTGGTTGAATTTCCCGATATGTTTTTGAATAGTTGAAAGAATATGAAATCATCAGCTCTATGAATAATAATGATGTTGATTTTAGTCATTTTAACTCATTGAGATATATTATTGAAAAGGGTGAGAAGAATTTGAAAGTTTCCAAGATATGCATGCATGTAATAACCATACATGTGTTCCACTTCATAGATATAAAAGGACATCACCAAGTCCTCGTGGCTGTCCATGCAGCCCCCAGAGATTCATGAAAACAGCAGAAGCATGTTGATAATAGAGCCAATATCCAGCAACCTCTGAAAGCCATAATGTCCATGGTCTGAATTTCCCAAAATTTGCTATATCCTAAGAAATGGTTCTTCACATGTGCAATTTCACCAAGATATCAGTTGGTACAGACTGATACAAAACTGTTTTCTTCCTTTCAGTTCCCAGATTTATTGAGAATCCATGAGGACATTATTGATGTGCGTTTGGCAGCAAAAGTACAGTAAGTGAATTATATTGGATATTGTTTTTTTCTGATTAAAATGTTTGGATGAGAATATAATTTATTTACAAATAGTTTTATTAGATACTATTAAAATTGCTTAATAATAAGTTTACAGAATTCACAAACATTAATGAAAAAGATTAGTGCTCTTTCTGCAAAATTATACGGTGATTTTTCATGATTCTTTTTCTTTTCATATTAGATTGTCTGTATGATCATTAACAAAAATGTTAAAATTTAGTATGCTTTATCGAGCATTATTGTTCTCTTTCTTGCAGTATGCCAGAACTGGAGAAAGATATACAGATTCTTAAAAGTGGACTTAAAGAAATTGAAAAGGTATGGGGAGATTGAATTGAAATGGAATTCAATTGAAATTATTTATTCCATAACAATCCATTAGCTAAAACTATTAGTTTTACATCAGTGCATTAGCCTTTGTTTCACAGAGTAAAACTGAGGTTTTTGTAAGATTACTTGTATGTTTTGAATAAACAACATTTGTGTAAGAAAAATTTTAAGAAAACCCAGCATACTTGGACCAATAAGTCTACAAATAATATTTTCCATTCCCAGGAAATAGAATTTCACAGGCACAGACAGCTAGAGCCAGATGACAAATTTGTCTCTGTTATGTCAGACTTTATCACGGTGGCAGCATACAATTATTCTGAGTTGGATGATCTAGTCAGTGAGATGAGGCAGAAGGTCAGTGAGGTGGCTTGGTTTTGTGGTATTGGTGGTTTTTTATCATAATGTTGCTTCAAAAAGTTTACGAAGGCTTAACCCCAATTTTGACACATTGCTGATAATTATCATACAAAGGGAAAAGTTAAGTCCCATGAGATATCTGTGAACATCTTTAGAAATCTAAAATTGTGGATAAATTATCAGTTTAAAATCAATTAATTGAACAATCTCTATATGGATACATTTCATGCAGTTACATGTATGTGTGGTGACTAGATACAGATCATTAAAGACAATATCTCCATAAAGACATTACTGTCACAATAAATTAATACCATAAATGCTTTTAAATTCTTTCAATCTGTGATATGAATTCCAGTATGACCAGGCAACGAGATTATTTGGTGACGACCCAAAAAACAGTCAGCCTGAGGAATTCTTTGGTACAGTAGATGCTTTTTTGACATCCTTTGCTGAGGCCAGGCAAGAAAATGAGAAGTTTAGGAGGCAGAGGGAGGAAGAAGAAAGAAGGGCTAAAATTGATGCACAGGTGAGGACTTTCTCATTTTGTTGATCTGAACCGTATTTTATTCACTTACTTTCTGTGACCCATGACTGTATTTAATATCAGCAGGGTGTACTTTGATTTAATCTATGTGTATCATGTAAAGTATGGCTTTAAGAAGAATTCATCAGGTTGAAGAATAAAATCTGCCAGTACTATGTTTTTGAATGTTGACCATGTAAAACCTGTGTACTATTGTGGGTTATTTTTTTTTAATGACAAGAATGGTGTTTCTTTGTGCAAATATACAACATTTCTTTGTGCAGTGATAAAGTAACATTTAAAAATGCCCATCGCTTATCCTTCAGGATGATAGATTTTATATCAGTTTCAATATGTATAATTATGTTTGTAGATGAGAGCTGAAAGAGAGAGACAAAAAGCAACCAGAAGACCCTCTGATAGAAGAAATGATGAAAAGGGAGAAGGTATGATGACGAAACATGTATTCCTACACAAAACAAGTTTGTCAAATATAATGATGTGATAAAGACGACTTTTATGTGTGTAGTATGAGGAACCCAAAATAACCGTCAGACTTTTTATCTAATACAAATTGATTTCTTTTGCTTATTAGTAATGTGTGATCTTATCATTGTTCTGCAGCTAACAATGTGAGATTTTTTTGTTGAATTTTGATATAAAATATTTAAAATTTTTTTTAATTTTAATGACAATAAGAGTCACCAAAAAGTGTAAAAGGAACTTGTGTATAGAAGCCAACATTTATCTATTATTATTATTATTATTATTATTATTATTATTATTATTATTATTATTATATAACTGTTCTTGCACATGTACCTGTAAATTTTTCAGTCATGTTCAGTGTGTGATTAGGTCATACCCTCTGTAAACTTTGTTTTAGTACCAGTACAGATCATATAAATAATAATACTCTATTTTAGGAGAATTTGATGACCTCATCTCAGCCCTCAGAACTGGGGATGTATTTGACAAAGACTTAGCAAAAATGAAGAGGAATCGCAGACGACCGAGTGCAGGCCGCGCAGACACAAGAGAGAGGGTAGGAACTCTGAAGTCAGTGGCTTAAAACTCCATTATTAAGACCGGGTGCTGGCACCAATATGACTTCGTTTCCAAACCATGACACCATTTTTGTAAACCCTAGGATATGATAGAAATTGAGGACCAAGTGCCTGAAGATTTTTTTTCCTGTCATTACTGGGAAATGACTGATTGCAATCGACCACACATTACATACAGGTACATTGAGGAAAAGGTTTCACTATCGCGGCCTAGGTTTGTTACCATGGTGCTGACAGATTGTTATACCTCGAAAATGGGCCCTTGGACCTTTTTTCAAATTATGTGCACGCAGGCAAACTTACACAGAAACCTAGTGAACATATGGTACTTCCCACATCTAGACGAGTTTGTTAAAGATGTACAATATTTGCTGATGTTAATGGATGTGAAAATGCATTGTGGGTATTTGAGTATATTTTTAGATTTATCTAGAAAACACATGAAGAAGAAAATGCTGGGAGTCATCATTAAACTTTGGTGAAAATGCAATAAGGGGAATTGGTCATTGTAATCTTAGACGTGCACTTGCAGCCTAATTTTACAGAAATTTACAGTGTTCTTGGCAGTGTTTCCAGTGCTTTGTACCAGAACTTTGCATTCCATGTCACAATGGCACAATGAAATCAAAATAAAAACAATAAAAATAAAGTTTTCAGAGATATAAGAGAACTCTTTAACTTGTCCTTGTGTGCTACATTGTACCTACTTCTGCAACATATTCCAAGACAAGTATAGACGGTTATTTTGGATTTCTTTGTTTTACCAAAAGTATCCCTCAAGATGAAGTACACAAAACAATATACAATGTACTGCTTTGTCTTATTTTTGTAAGATGAACCTATGACAAGTTTTGGGTCTAGGATGATGCATGTATTTATATGGTTTGTCATGTTATAATGTCCAGATTTGTGTTTAATGTTTACTTTTGTTTCATTTATTGTTGCTAAGGGATTTAAAAAGAGTCCTGCCTTAACTGGTGAATGTTGCATTATTCTAGTGTTTGGCTGCTGAGACTATTGTTTATGCTTTTTTTACATGCCAATTTGTGAAATGATGTTTTTTTTTTCTTAGTACATTAATTGGAAATTTACTTATGTAAATGTTACTTACAGAGATAACTGTTTACTAATTTAATATAAAGGCAATTATCTTTAGATAAATTGTCATTTGTAGTTTTGGGGGGAAGGCTTAACATAACATGGCAGACTCTTAGATAATACAAGGCTATTTATTTGATTTATGCAGGCAGGGGCTCTTAATTGTACTTTAAAATGGCAGAAATTTCAGAAATCTGTGTTTTTGGCTTATTTAAAATTGATAAATTTGTTATTCAGTCTTCATATCATTGTAGATAAATTTAATCCTCTATGTTTATGTTGTAAAATTTGTGATGTATTTATTATTTCAGTAAAAAAATTATAATTATAATAACTTGATAAAACATTGTTGTTTTATTGATTTAAAATGTCATTAGCGAAATAATTTTATTTTTTGGAAGATAACGTTTTTGAGGTCTTTTGAGTGTCTTTGAATCCCCAAAAGTTTGGAAGCAGTCTGTTTGTGTTACATGAACAGTATATTTTGAGCACATGTATAGCATACAGGCATTAAAACCTTGAAACAATACTTGACATACACAAAAATCCCTCAAGTTGATTCTTCAGATTGACTATTCAAAAATCATGCCAGTTGAGATATTAGAGTACCTAGTACTGAAGACTGTCACTACTAGCTGACATGCTTTGAAATGAAGACACAAATAAAAATCAAACCATTCACAAAATGAGCAGGATCTTTCAAATCACACAACTAAAACAGTGGGTGTCCAAATCGGTTGTAATACATATCAGTAATCTATACACAACAATTCAGCAAGGTGTATATGATATACACTAGTGCAGAGCACATGCATAGGTATTGGTGATTATAAGTCAATGATTGAGTTCTCGTGGAATACCATGCCCACCCTCTCCCCCTCCGCTTGGATCCCACAGTGGTACACATTTTGAAGAAACATCAATATCTCGTGGTCAGCATCCTGGGATGCTTTGAATTTTGTTTACTGAGAAACTTTTGATATTATTGCAGCAACGTACTTTGAAAGAAAACAAGCCAATTTTTCTTTTACCAAAAGAATGTATTTGTACACATTGTATGTTAATTGTAGAATGTTCAAATTTTGTCATTTATTCAGTTGTGCAAAGGAAGCGGATTCCGTGCATGAGTGCCTTCAAGTCACCTAGCTAGTATAGTTGAGAATGAAGTTTATCGTAATTGCTTTAAATCACAGCAAACACACTACCGTATGTCTCTTGATTCATTGTGACGGCAGTCATCGGCAATGGAACTTGATAAGATTGTGGAATACGTGTAAATGAAGTATCTCTCTTTTTGTGACGTAGTAAAGAATGAGAGCACAGCCAGGAGTAAATTCCAGTGCACATCTTACACTTTCCCTGGCTTCAAGCAATGAACACGTAGTCGCTCCGTGGCACCGAGTACTGATAATTCAATTTTACTTGCTTTCCTAGCATTTTTCAGAGGCCTCCGTTGCCAAAGTCACCAAGCATCGTTGCTGTCTTTATAATTGGGGGTGTCAGGATGTTTTTGTTTTTTTTCATCAGCACTCGTAACGGCAAAGTTTACCTTCTGTTGTACATGTGTTCTTCGTAAATGTTCTTATTGTCGGTATTTTTATTTACAAATAATAATAATAATAATAAATAAAATAAAGACGATTGTAGGATATGTGTTTAAGATCCATACGTAAGCTCTTATTGTTGGTGCTTTTCTTTCCCTAACGATGTCAAAAAATCGTTAGGAAAATCGTATACAATTTCACTGAACGGTGTCCGTGGCAAATGTAATCTCTGCTCTAGGTATGACGCGACTTGCAAGAGCTTTTACAGTTTCCATAGCATTAATATTATGATTTTAGAATTTTCAATGAATTTTCAATTTCAATGACACCTGTAGAGGTGTAGAGTATAGGGCCCTGGTTCTTGAAGTAGGGGAAATTGTACCGCTCCTATTCTATTAAGCTTCCCTTCCCTAATACAATATTAAGAATTGCCATGCTGCGCAACAATGTCAAGATCTCTTGATGGGTCGCTCTTGGTAATCAATATATTGCATTTATTATAAGCGTCACGCTGAAATCACTTGTGTAGAGAAAGCTAGAACAGAAAGATAAAGCACAGGTACACGGAAAGGAAGACAACATGCATGCACTGTCCTAGTTAAATTACAAGTGGTGACAACCCGATACCCATTCATGGTGAAAGTGAAATATTTGGGTAATATGTAATATCATTACCTATTGTTGCTGTATGTTGGTAAATTTTACATTCCAATCATAACACTATCATACCTAATGACCTGCTGATGAATCGTTTACCTGAATTGCAATTTTCTGCTCAATGATTTCATCACACTGCTTGTGTTAAGTACGGCACAGGTGGACACCTGGCACTGGTTACACGAAAGAATTTTAGCCCGAAAATTGGGCTGAACTGTTTCGGTCTACATTGACTCAAGATAAATCTATGGAATCCAATGGATGAAATATGACACCGGCTTTATAACAAGAAAATAAAGATGTAACGATAATGTTTAAAAGTTATATTGATAATATTTGCAACTAACAGCAGTTGGATTGTACAACTATGCGCGGTATATATAAATACAGTGCGGTATAGTGCAGTATGTATAGAACAGTTTGACGCCTGTTGACTACATAGTGAGACAATACTATACTAACTTTACTATTGAACTTTCGTTACAATGTCCAAGCTTTAATCAAGTTAACTACTATGAATAATTCTTGAACTGAAGTCGACCGAATTTCGTCAAAAAAGTTAATTTGTGAAACTGGACCCTCAAGATGGGTATGCCAACTGTGAACAGACGTGAACGGGACGCCATAAGCGCACCTCTTGTTGTCAGCCGAGCAGATTATAAAACCATTACATCCAGCGTGTCTAACGAGCAGACCTTAGGAGGGTTCAATGGTTTTGTAGAATAAATATTTTCCTACAAATTATCAACCCTTAGAAAATATGTAGGATATGTTACTTTTGAAACATTTTTGTCGGCATTTATGCCCGCGGCATATACATATGTATTTTTATACGGTACGGTGCACACGTTTTATCTTGTAGTTCAAGAGTAGGCCCTATTCTCCTAAATACATACACACGCCGTGTGTCTATTTTTAAGTGTGTTCATCGAGAGATTGCTAACACTGACTACAGCATTTCCCCAAGGATAGAATGACATCTGGAAATAAAGGCAATCGATGGCTAAAGAAGACTACAGAACTCACACAGGCT